GCTCACCCCGCCACCAGGATGATGACCCTGAGCGGGTCGACGGCCACGGTGAGCAGGAAGAGGGCGAAGGCGGGCCCGAAGGCAATAAAAGTACAGCCGAAGAACACAGCCGCCCCCATGGCGCCCGGCGCCACCGCCCCGGAGAAAACGCTCCCCCGGCTACGGAAGCCGACAAACCCCGCCTCCCATTGGCCGGCCGCGGCGCGGCTGGCCAATGAGCACGGGGCGCTCCGTTGCTGCCCACTCGCCCACCCCTCCCCATCAGGGTAGATTGTCAGAGGCGCGGCTCAACCCCGCGGCACTTCCGGTGCCTCCCCCTAGAGGCATGCTGGGGGCTGTAGTTTTTTTGGGCCCGGCCGGCCCCGACAGCGTGCAGCTCCCCGGGCTTTGTGTGGGCGCTGCCAGCCCCGGCAGCCACGTGGTGCCCGCCCAGTGCAAATGCTCGCGATCCACGAATCCCACGGGATAACTCACCGATTGCATGTATTTAGGGTGCAAATTAGGGGCAGTTCTTTTTAAAGCCCCAGCTCCTTGAGTCCCGGGAGTTGTGGAACCTGTCTGCTTCTGTGATGCTGAATGAGAGAGGCAAGGCGTTTTGGGGCGGGGGGGATCTCTTTTATTGCATCCGCTGCATGGCTGGGATCAAGTTAGACGTGCTTTTGAATTAGGGTTATCCTATTTCCAGTTTCACACACATGATGGCCTCCAGGCACCTGTCTCCAGGTCCCTCCAGCCCCAAGCAGCTCCTTGCTAGGGCAAGTCAGGAAATGCCAGGAAAAACTTTGATGCTGAGCAAAGCAAAATCCCGCACATTTGTTCATATTTTACAAAACCACCCGGACGGAGATGGGAAGACCCAAAAAGGGGACATGTCTGGAAAAACCTGGACGTTCACTAACCTTATTTTAAATGCCAGGCCTTCTTCATCACCTCTTAATGCTATGTTTACACCACAGGTGTGTATCTGGCATGGTTTATGCCTGCCCCGACACGTGCCCGTTCTGCGGGCAGAGGGAGACCCTGGCGCACGTGGTCCTGGAGCGTGCCGGGTTGCAGCCCCTGCACCTCCTCCTCCACAAGCTCCTCTTGAGGTTCTGGCTGCACTTTCCCCCTCACTTATTTGTTTTCGCACGCCCCAGCCATGGCCCCACCAAGCCCTGGGACCTCCTGGTCAACCTCCTCCAGGCTCTGGCCAATGTGGCCATCTGTCTTACCAAGAAGGAGGCTGTGGCCTGGAGGGTCCTCGGGGACTGTGGGGCCGTTTTCCTTGGTCTTGTCCGTTCCCGTCTCCGAGCGGAGCACCACTGGGCAGTAGCTGCCGACTCTCTGGCCACCTTTGAGAGTCAGTGGGTGTTGTCTGGTGTGCTCTGCTCGGTGTCCACCAGTGGTGCACTTCTCTTGAACCTTTAGTTCACTTGCACATCCTTTTTGTCATTTTTTTTGTCTCACAAATTCAGTTGTTGCTTTCTTTTCTCACTGCCCCATTAAGTGGCAGCTCTCAGTGATGTAATGGGCATGAGCCCATGTACTCAAAGGCAACAAATAGGCTTAATGCTATGTTTAAAGGCAGATTTTAGCCACCCTCGGCTGGAACAGGCTGACCCACAAGGCTGCCGCATTGGCAGGCAGATGAAAGGAACCCAAGTTGTGCTTCTGAAAGCAAATCATGTGAGTTGAAAGCAGACTTATGAGCTCTCAAAGTCCTGTGACTGGCCCCGTTGCTATTAACACCAATCTGTGTCTTCTCAGGTGCATGCTTTTCCCAGCAGCCGACACACCATGCAGCCACGAGGCGTCACTGTTAGCTCATTGCTGTGACTTTGAATTAGCCAACAAATGCCCCGGCCAAAACATGCAAAGAATGACACGTACCCAAATAAAAAGGTGGCAGGCTGCATTGGAAAGGAGCCAGCATCTGAGAGAAGCTCAGTTCCAGCAACGTGGGGACAATCCACTGAGCTGGGAACAGTTTGAAAACAACCCACCCATGGCAAAATTCACTGCTGCTTTCTGTGGCGAGAGGGGAAAAATGAAGCAGAAAAATTAAAACAAATACAAGGTGAAAGAAAATAACATTTAACATTGATCAAGAGCAGTGAAGCATTGGCTTTTTTCTGCTTTTAGCTCAGTAACAACCTGCAGTGGTACCTGCAGTTCTAAAAAAACAGCTTTCATTAATATACCTGATTTAGATTATTAATTAATTAATCCCACTGGCTGGGTGGGATCCCAATTATACATTTAGCTAGATTCCCCCAGTCCATGATCCCAGATGATCTTTAAGTCAGCAGGCACTTGGTGCACAGAACTAAGTCTGGATGTGACCTGTGCACTGATTCTGCGCTGGGATTGTTGCCTGGCTGTGAGTCCTGGTGTTACTGGGACCTGGTGCTCTTTGACCTCCATGGCTTTCAGGAAGAAAATAAAAAGGCTGTTTGGTGCTTTCAGCTTTTTTTTCCTTTAAAACTGACTCTAATCTAGATGGGAAGAGAGAATTTGGCTTCCCAGAAGACCACAGACCTTTAAGGATTATAGAGCCAGCTTGGACAACTCTTCCCAGACTGCAGGGACTGTGGCTAGGGTGAGATGGGAGATCTGTTCCCCTGATTTGGCTTCTTTGCTGTGATCAAACAGGTGGACAGATGCCTGGCTAAGCAATTCAAGTCTAAATCCACAGAAGCTACCAAAATAGCCATGATCTTCAGACTGGCTAGAAGCCCACACCTCTGGCCTGGTCCATTCTTAAAAGATGCACCTATAAAAGTATTTGGATTCAGGATAGATAGAGAGATAGATAGACAGAAACTATGTTGATATATAGATAGAGATAGATATCTATATATCAATTATATTGATATAGTTTTATGGTTAGATATAACACTATCTATATATATATTGACAGATTTATACCAGAACAGTCCCCATGGTGGATGCAGTTAAAGAAATAATAAAACCCAGATTAGTTATTACCCTTGCAGTTAGCAAATAAGTTATATTAATGAGTGCTTTCTCCCCATATGTGTGTCTCTACACTATGGGTGGCATGAACCAGACTTAACCATCCCAGCATGGTCCAAGCAGTGGAACTCCTGCATGTAACAAGGTCTAAGAAATCAGATGAGGCTTGTTCCTGGGACCTGTCTACATGACAGAGCTGCTGCTTGTATAGCTGTGCCAACACAGCAGTCACAGGATCATAGGCAAGTGGGGCTGGAAGTGACCTCACGAGGTCACATCTATTCCAGCCCCCTGCTCAAGGCAGGATTGTTCCTGACTATACGATCCCAACCAAGGGTCTGTCTAACCTGTTCTTGAACATTTTCAAAGATGGAGACTCCACAGCCTCTCTAGGTACCTGTTCCAATGCTTCACCACCCTCAGAGTCAGAAAGTTCCTCATCATTTCTGACCTCAGTTTCCCATTGCTCCTAGTCCTGTCTCCTGTGGGCACAGAAAAGAGCCTATATTCATCCTCCCTGTAATTGCCCTTCAGGGATTTGCAGACTGGTATCAAATTCCCTCTCAGTCTTCTCTTCTTCAGACTAAATGCTCCTAGCTCTTCTAGCCCGTCCTCAACAGTCCTGCATCCCAGGCCCCTCATCAGTTTTGTTGCTCTGCGCTGGGCTCTTTCCAGTCTGTCCAGATCCTTGAAGTGATGGCAGCAGAGGTCCCTGGCGGGGATGCAGAAGCAGGGGTAGAGCTGGTAAAGCAATGCCATCTGCCAAGAGGACAGCTGCTGAGCTGGCTGGAATCCACTTTTGTAGACTCAGCTGCCTGCAGACAGGTTTGATCCGAGACCACCCTGAGCACAGTCACGTCTCCCTTGAGTCTCTTCAGCTCCTCGCTGCAGAAAGCTTGTCTTTGCAGAGCCCTGAGACCGTGTTTTGCAACACATCCTGTTGTTTAACTGATTTCAACCTGGGGCTGGCTCTCTCTGCACCATTTCCTTTGACACCTCTGTCCACTTCTTAGTGCTGCCTTGGCCTGTGGCATTTGATACACTCACAGTATTTTCCGCACCCTGTTTTGGGAACCCTTTGAGGCCCAGGCCAAGCAAGAAACACTGTAGAAGGCTCCACACCTTTTTTTTTGCACCCCATGCAGACATTTACTTTAGTTTTCTTTCTCCAGAACTCCGAGTGACTCCCACAGTCCCAGAGTTTGCTGTTTTCCTGGAGTTTGGTGTTTCCCTTAGGAAGGCCAGTACAAGGCCTTACCACAGGTTCAGCACCATATTGCTTTCTATACCTTGCAAGGTCAAATCATAGTATCATAGACAATGAGGGTGGGAAGGGACCTTGGGAGGTTACATCTAGTCCAACACCTTGCTCAAAGGAAGACCAGCCCCAACTACATCATCCCAGCCAAGACTTTGTTGAGCCAGGCCTTAAAAAACCCCAAGGATGAAGACTCCACAACCTCTCTGGATAGCCTGTTCCAGTGCTTTACCACCTTCCTTGTGATAAAATTTTCCCTAATATCCAACCTAAACCTCCCATGCTGCAACTTAAGCCCATTGCTCCTTGTTCTGTCATCTGCCACCACTGAGAACAGTCCAGCTCCATTCTCTTTGGTAGCAGGTATTTAAAGACTGCTAAGCCCTGGACAAACCTCACACAAGGCAGCTTGCTGCCCATCTGCTCCCCGCTCTGGGGTTTTAGGCTCCCAGAGGGTCTTCCCCTCACTCTCCAAATGCCCCACAGCCAGCCTATTCCTCAATAGGGCAGACCGTTCCCTCTAAAAGGGACAGACCACCCTGTTGCATACCGGCACACTGATCACATGGAATTGGCAGGCACCTCTCTAGATTACACCTACAGAGCTGAGCGACACCATCCTCCCTAAGGCTCTTTCAGCAGGTATTATGCCGAGTCACGGCATGCTCTACTTTGCCTTGAAATTTCACCCTGCAGGCGTGACTCCTTCTCCCCACAGACATTTTAGCAACTCCGGTGAGTTCCTGCAGAAATGTTTGGTTTAGATGTACTGGGATTTTCTGACTGAAGACACTTACCCTGAAAAATTCCCAACTGGCTCTTCATACCGCAGCCTTGGAAACACCCACGATTCACTGTATTCATCGTAAAAGAAGCTCAAGTTGATTTTCATGCCTGAGCTCATCAATTTTCATGGCAATTTGACCAGCCAGGTTCATTTTCAAGTCTCTGCTT